GCGTGACTAGCCGGGGTATAGGAAACATCTGTTGATATGTCAGAGACGGGTGTGGGTACAGGGGTTGTTCTACATGCTGGAAAAAAATCCAAGGTGTTCGTGGAGGATCCAGATACCATGGAAGTCATGGCGCTCCTGTATTTGCTGGAGAAGATCAGGGCCAATGAGATGCAGTTCTAGGCCTACCAGGATGCATTGGATCAGTTGCTGGATGCAGGCAAAGTGGCTGGTGGTGAATTTTTGGCCACCGGGGCAGACAAGGAGAGACAGCCGTCAGTGCGGTAGTCGAGCAATGTGAACATGTACGTATTCCTTACAATCATAGCACAGAGCCGGATTGGTGTAGGCTCGAAGCAGAGGTTGAAGCTGTCGTGTCTGGCTTTGTCCCGATCTGAAGTTGGCGGTTTGTCCATGACCAATTGGTAGTAGTATTGACGCCGGGCCATAGCCGCGATCTCCTTGTTGGACCAGCGTTTCGTTGAATTCTTTCTAATGTCGTCACATCGTTGGCGGAGGGCTACATGGTCTGGTGTACGCCCGTCCATGGTTTTGTATACAGTCTTCAAGTGGGCATAGATACTGTACGGGAAGCGCAGTGAGGGTTTGTCGTGGGCCCAAGCGGGTTGCGTCAGAAGGGTGAGTGGGTTTGTGCTGGCCATTGAGTCGAGTTGCATTCCCAGACAACCTCCGAGGTAGTCCGCGAATGCTTGCGTGGGGAGCAGACCACAAAAATGGAGTAAGTTGGTTTGATGTTTGGGAAACCTAGGGTATTTGGTGCCCGTGATGATGGCTGCTGCTCGAATGAGTGCTGAGTTATAGCGCTCAAACAAGGGGTCCATCGCATCCTTCCATATAGATGGAGCCCAGGCAATAATGTTCAGGCCATATGTAGCCGTGGATAAGATGAATGTTTTGAACAACACCAGCCTGTTGCGGGGGTGTCGCCAGCTGAAGCCATGGAAACCATAAGCGCGGAAGGAGGCGATACCCAGAGACAATACTGTAACCAGAGATTCCATATGTCTGGCGAGATTTATCCCTGGTATTCCGTGGGAGAGTGGGAACCCCAGGTATTTGGAGAGTTTAGGGTTGACATGTGTGGGAGCCATCTTCAGGGGTAAATGGCATGTGTTCCAAGGGGCATCTGCAAGCGTCGGCGTGATAAGCTCACCATTTATACGGAGGGTTGGCGCCGCGTGTCGCAAGTTGGTAGATCGTACTCGGGGTTTGATGACACCCTGTTTGAGGCCAGATTTGCGTCCCCAAGCATCAATGTCGTCTAAAAAGGGCTGGAGCGGAACCGGTTGGGGGGCTTGGATCCGTGTGTCGTCGACAAATAAATAAAAGCGGAGGAGCTTGGGCCGGAATTTTGCTAGTGTGACAGCCAAAGAATCCATGTAGATAATAAAGAGCTGGGGGCCAACGATTGAGCCTTGTAGGATGCCATTTGTTCTATGAAATAGATCCAAGAGCATGCCGCGGTATGTCACTCGAGTAGAGACCCTCTCAAATAGCGCACGGAGGCAGTTGATCCAGTTTTCGGGCATTCCAGCGTGGCGCAAGAGTACCCACAGGCGCGGGAGAGCAACCTTGTCGTATGCCTTGAGAATGTCCAGACAGACGTCGTTCCACTCCTCTTCCGACTGTGTCTCAGATCCCATGGCGGCGAGTGCTTGGGTATGGCAGGAGTATCGTGATTTGAAGCCAGCTTGAGTTGCGTTGGTAGCAGAGCCGGGGTGGCTAGTAATCAGCTTGAGGAAACACTTCTCAAATATGCGTCTGACTTTTTGCGTTAGCGTGATAGGGCGGAAGTCGGCGGGGGAGGTGATATCTGTATCGGCCTTTTTTGGGTGCGCTGTCAGGAGAGTGCAGTTCAGGGCGGTAGGGAAGGTACCCGCCTTTAGTAGCTCAGTGAATGCTTCGGCAAGGAGTCTAATCAGTGGGCTATTGGTGTTCGGGCGTCCTAGTGTCCTGTGTTCGGTGGAACGCTCTACTGCGGCCTTCAGAAGGAGGATGTGGATTCCGTCAGGGCCAGGCCCCTTATTGGGATAGCGTAGTATAGCCTTCATTACATCGTCTGGGCGTACGGCGGGAGTTACATCTGGCGAGGGTTCGGTATCCGGTGGAACAACGTACGGATTCGTGGAGCTGAATAGGTCCTCAAAATAGCCAGTGAGAGTGGCGCCTGTGTCGTCGGCACCCGGTATGTAGGGTTGGCGTGGAGATCGTCGTTGGTACGCAATATCTTGGAACATTTGGGTATTGCTTTGGGCGGTCAGACGTGGGCGGAACGAGTGGTTTGGTACCCAAGGTTTATTTATGTCGTAGTAGAATCCCCCAAAGATTTGTGGGTTAGCGGCATAGCGCCAGATGCGGTCGAGAATCCGTTGCAAGCCTTCCGCTGGACCAAGCAAGGTGAGATACGGCCGTAGTAGGTTCTGATACACCCGGATTTCGGCTTGGAATAGTCGTGCGCGGGATTTGTTGCGTAAGTGATAAAGTCGATGGCGATATCGGTTATATCCATGAGAGGGAAGGCGTTGGTCCGGAGGCGGCGGCATTGTTGGCATTTGTTGGAGCCGATGGATGTATTCCGTTGTAAGTACCTGGAGATCAAGCCCAAAGGTGTGGTCACCATAGATGCTGTAGTCCGTCAGCTTATAGGTCTGGAGGGAGGCGGAAGTCGAGGGCCGGTGATACGCATGTTCTGTACCAGTTGAGCCGCCAGCATAGAGATAGTCCAAGTGCCACGTGTTATTTAGGGTAGCTAAAACCCTATAAAAAAAACTCCAATAGCCTGAGTATTTGGTATGACTCATATACTTGAACCTATTTGAGACGATAGTAGATGTAGGATATTATAGACTAAATCTTATAATCTCTGAACTACTACTTACAGGTTTTGGTCTTCCCGCCAATCTCCAAAATCCAATAAGTCTTTTTCTTTTTTAACTTTTCTCCAGATGGAACTTTATTTATATTAGCTAATGAATTAACTTGATTTACGTTCTTTGTCTATCTACAGATTAGACATGTGGTCAGGAACACTGTACTTCTAGTGAAAATTATTCAACAAAGAACACCTACAGGTACGTCCTGTGTGATCGAGGATATTAAGGCTCTTACCAAGAGGCAGTCCCGATTATTCTTACACAAGCTACCACTGCTAAATCCTAACTGACTTAAATTGTAACTTAGTTTATAGAACATAGTTCAAAACATAGAAATATCTATCGAAGTTTACAATTGAGTGTCTGGCTTCATCTCCTTTATTTATTAAAGGGACTTCTGGTCACACATCAGCGTAAAAGCTGACCCGTATAAGTAATCCGGAAGTGTGTTAAGGCTGCTACTATGGTTAGTAGCTCTTTCTTCACTGTTGGATAATTCAACTGCGATGCATTCATTGCTCGGCTAACGAATTGTATATACCTAGGTTTACTATCTATAACCTAGTATAGTACGCTTCCGAGTGCTAATTCTGATGTGTCCGTTGCTATTTCAAAAGGCACGCCATTGACTGGTCCTAGTACAACAGGGGCTTGTTGGACTGCGCGCTTGAACGCTTTAAGTGTGTCATCACACTCTTAGGTCCATAAGTCTCCTAGTTTACCTTTATGACATCTTAAGTGTCCAAGAGGTTTTAGATAATCAGCTAAGAGTGGTACTCCAAGAGAGAAGAAGTTTACAAATCCACACATGCTGTTTACATCTCTTCCTGTAGTTGGTGTTCGCCGATCTAACAGGTGTTCCACCTTACCGGGGTCGATCTTATTACCTTCCCCAGATATACGATAGCCTAAGAGCTGTATTTCGCTCATTGCGAAGTGACATTTCTTCTCGTTAATCTTGAAGTTTTGCTCGTTGAGTCTCTGAATGACTCGTCTGACTAATGCAGCATGTTCACCCTTAGTCTTTGAAAAGTTGACTATGTCATCTATGTAGACTTGCATATTAGGCATGTCTGCAAACATTTCTTCCATTACTTGTTGGAAGAATGCTGGTAAAGAGTGCAACCCGAAAGGTGCACCTCTAAACCTGTATTGTTTACCCTTCCAAGTAAAAATAAAGTACTTACGATGGAGTTTGTAAATTTGCATTTGATGATACCCCTGTGTTAGGTCTATGGTTGTAAACACCGTAGCACCTTCCATTCGTCTCAGTAACTCGTTTATACGAAGGAGATGTAAACTATGAGTCGGCAATAATTTATTTATTGGGCTCATATCCAGACATACTCTGACTTTCTTAAATGTTCCGTCAGAGTTGTGTTGATCAACTGCCAGCAGTGCTAAGTTTACTGGCGTTTGTTGGTAATTGATTTCGATTACCCCATCGGCTAACCATTTCTCCACTTGTTCTTTAACTACAGCCTCATGTCTCCAAGAAACATAGTTTCTTGAAGAGCATTTGATCTTAGTGAAATCTACCTTGGTTAAGTCGAGGCTGACGTATCCGTCATTAAAGCGGAATTTCGCCCAGTCAGTTATCTTTATCTTCTTATTTACTAATATAAGTTCCATTATTATATCGGCAAAGCCAGGAATTAATTCCTTGACTGTGTCCGATAGTGGTGTATATGGTTTCAGACAATTATCGTCTGATTGATCCTTTAATGGATCTATGTTGTTGGGAATACCTGTTACGGTTATCCCTAACGTGAGCAAATCGCTCATTCCAACTATAATGTCGTACTTCTGTGTCATCTTAACGATCACAGCTTGAGTCGTGATATTTATATCATCAGCCAGGGAGATTTTAACATCTGTGGCCATGGTATCACACTTGGAAGTTTTATCATCTGCTAAAATAAGGTGAGTAGTTTGAGTTGGCCTTTCAATGCCTTTCATTAATGCAAAGCGGTCGGATATACATGAAATTTCTGAACCAGGATCAATCAATGCAAGGACTTCATTTCCGTTGCAATATACAGGGATTATTACACACTCATCTAAGGAGTTGTTGTATTTTCTTTGTAACGATTGTACCTGGTAGTACTTTCACTCCAACTTAATGTCGGGCTTTTTGTCACAAGACTTGGCGTGATAGCCATTGGTCATCTCACACTTGTCACACTTCGAAAGGAAGTGTGTACAGTTGGGTGTATGTCTTCCATTCCAATAATCGTTAGAGGTTAATTGGTACATGTCATATCCACACTGTGCGTCGGCACATTTCTTAATCTCCTTATAGGGAGGTTCCTTGTCCTTCGGCTCCGCGCGAACCCGCTTAGTGGGTCGCGTTGGCTGAGCAGCGTCGCGAGTGCGTGTCTGATTAGGAGGCGTCTGATGAGGTTTATCATCCGACGTCTGTCGTGAGAGATATCCTTGATCAGGGAGCTCGCGTGATTACTTATTCATCACCTTCCCATCGAGGTTATTCGGTGCGCGGAGTAAAGAGTGGATACAATGTCATAAACCTGTTCCCACTTAAGTCGAGACAGATGGAACTTTGTTTCATGTCCCTTGTCTCGGACCTCAGTTGCGTACTTACGTCGCAACTCAGTGTACAGACTCTCTCGGTCGTTGTTCCCTATGTTCTTGCAGAACACATGCATAGCCAGGAACTCGTACCATTTCTGAGCTTTGTTCTTTGTTATATCAGGACGCTTCAGATCTGCATCAAGTTTCAGAATGTAACTCTGAATGGGAGTGTTCTCGACTGGTTCAGTTAGAATTGAGCTCAGTCCAGGATCACGCATATCCTTGCTTAATAAGAACGTTACTAAGCAGCACACAGCTGGCCAGTCACTACATGTGTCTAGCTGATGCTGATGTCGCTGCAGGATCAAATAACTTGTTCCTGTAGGATCAAATGACTGCATTAAAGCAGCAATCCATTGCTGGGGAGCGATATCATTTGTCTCCAGCATGACCGTAAACGTATTTCGCGTACGGGTTAGCTTGTCGAGGTCATGTTTATTTATAACTCGATCTGCTTGCTGTTGGCATCCCAGTTCGACTTAAGTCGACTGATCTGTCTCTTGTATTTCTGGTTGTCCCGGTGCACTTGTCCACGTTGGGCATGAAGTAGCTGATCGATGCGCTTCTGCTTGATCGCAATCATATTAGCAAAATATAATACATCGTCCGTCTGGTGATTGGTATCGGCGATTTCCATCTTTTTGGTGTAAACGTCGACCGCTTTATTAAGTTTGGTCACCTCATCAAAGTGGAAATCCTCTACGGGTTGGTGTATGACGGTGCGATCGAAGCGATTAAATTCGACGTCGTTATCACGTCTACTAGGGTGTTTATTACCCCGTGTAAAGTCCATGGTCGAGGCCTTTCGGTGCTCTGTTCCTGGGATAGGTGTTGGCCTTATAAGTTCGGGAGGTAACTCCGTGTGGACGACATATCCAGTCTTAACTGGTTTATGACGTGGACGGTCCCCCCAACTGGGTAAAGGTGGTGGAGTGTTTTTACCTGCCTCTGGGTCTATAATACCCTCAAGGACAGGCGACTCATGGCCTGGCGAAAGAACAGCCGAATAATTAGCCTGGACTTCTGGTGGCAGGTCCTCGTAAGGTATAGATACGCTGAGCACATATGGGTCAACTGACACAGGTTTGGCGCTCAGGTCCATTCGCTTTTCGGGCGACATTGACTGCTGACGTTCTGTCCACTTCTGTAGGGCTTTAGTAATGCCCGGAGAAACATGCTCGCGTAAGCGCTGTGCTTGCTTTCCTGATTCATACGTTCGATCTACATATTCAACAGACATGCTTTTCATAAGAGCGGCTAACTGATTCTTAAGATCAGTGTTTTCAGTCATTAACTTACATATGCGCGTTGGCTCAGTGGTCTCGGACGAAGATTTGGGTTTGCCACTTGAGCTTGCCTCCTCTTCTGGTTCCGGTGTAGTACCTTCTGAGATTCGTCTTTGTCCCTTATAATTGGGAACTTTTCTGTCTGGGTTTCATCAGAAGAATTGGTTGGGGCGTCGTGAGACGTGTCCCTTGTCTCACTTCTTCGCTTCGGAAATGCGTACTTCGAAATTGAGGCAATCATTGGTCCTCGGGCCCTTTCGGCAGGAGTAGTCTCCTTAATCGGAGTGGCTACATCCTTATCCGAAGCATTGTTCTGACTATTATTGCCAGAGACAAGTGCTTCGGCTACGGTGCGGTTAAACCCATCGGCAGCATCCGCGATTGCTTCTGCGGCAGCAGTAGCTGCGGCGGCACTAGCAGCTTCTCTCTCAATCTTCTTGCGTTCGGCCTTGCGTTTCTTTGCAGGTGTATTGTCTTTCTTTGTCATAATACTTAAGTTATAACTTCAGTCTATTCTCTTTAGGGAATAACTGCGCTTAGGAAAAAAAATCGTGGTAGTTATCTACCTTTACGTTTAAGTAGTCTAAGTAGTTAATACCTTTGCTAACTTTAAAATGTGTAAGTTTCGGTCTATCAAGGCGATAATAACGCCTTATAGTAAATAAACGCTTAGGTTAAGGCTAAGTATACCAAAACTTAAAAGTAAATAAACGAAAGGAGTCTTTTAGCAAAGTTAGGTATGCCTCGTGAAAACAGCAATACTCTGAGGAATTGTAGGGCTGAGACATTGTCTATATATAATCCTCTCAGTACTGTTTTCGCCGAAGGGATTTTATTTAGTGTTTCGTCGTCGCTCTATAAACTATGGTATGTTTCGTTGGGGCGAATCCGAGAGACTCATAAAATCCTATGTTTAGAGGAAGAAAAAAGAAGAAGAAAAAACTCTTGATGTCCATAGTTATTGCATTAACCAATAACTTGCCACTTATCAAGAATTACCAACTAGCCTTCATCAGATTGACACATCTGGTTGGCTGAACGGAGGATAAACGAAGCAACGCTAATAGTCCTTAGAAACCTATGTTCGGTTGAGCCATCTTGCTACCGAAGTATTCGGATATAAATAGATTTGGAAAGTAAAATATAGTTATATTAATAGAAATAGTCCAAATCTTACATTTGGTATTTCACGGGGGCCTTTTAATGGCCTTGTCCAAATTCTGATTATGTAAAATGGAAAAGGTATTTAATTATTGAAACCGTTAAACCCCATTTAAGGAAAACTAAGTTTACGTACTTTTAAGAGTACGTTTATATTACAAGATTCTAATGTGGAGGCCCGGCTTCTACAGAAGGGGGAGGCGGTGTTGGTGGTGGTCGACCAGTCGGGCGTTGTGCACGTTGTGTGCGTAAGTGTGTAGCGATGTTACGGCTAGTGGGTCTAGAGGAAGGAGGGCTGGTGTCGAGCCAGGAGGGAAGGGAGATAAATCAAAGCAGGGCGGATGGCGGTGGGCAACGATCGGGTGGAGCTCTCCTGAAGGTATATACGATGTTTTGGGGTGGGGGGGGAGCGGGGTTTCGGATGCATAGCCGAGATAGTAGACACGGTATAGTGTGTTGGTAATGTGTGTATGATTGTTGTCGAAATTGTGTGCTAGGGTCGGGGATGGTGGTGAGTGTGTGAGATGTATGCTTAGAGTGGGCGGGTCGAGGAAGGTTCTTAGTCAAGGTGTCTGCGATGCTATCGGCAGTGTTGACGTATTTGGTTGGCGATGACACCTTGGTCTTGGAGGTCACGAATATGGTGAACACGAATGTCGACGTGCTTCAGCTGCTTGGGAGTACCCGAGTTGGTGATGACATGTACGGCGGATTGGTTTTCGCAGTATAGATCAGTGGGAGTGTCGGGGGTAAAGCCAAGCTCAGTCAAAAAGTTGCGGAGCCACTGTATGTGTTTAGCGGCTTCACTGACAGCAAAGTATTCGGCTTCAGCAGTGCTAGTGCTGACATTCCAGATGACTGTTGTGCCACATATGCGAAAAACGTAGCCGGTAGTGGAGCGACGGGTAGGGAGGCAGCTAGCATAGTCGGAATCAGCGTAGGCGTCAGTGAAGAGCGGTTGGGGTGTTTTACTGTACGTGAGGCCAAGTGTGGGGTTGGTGCGGAGATAGCGGAGCACGCGACAAGCAGCGAGCCAGTGGTCTTCGCAAGGGTTGAAAAGGAAACGCAAGAGATTGTTGACGGCGAAGGTGATATCGATGCGCGTGAGTATGGAGAGGTAGAGAAGGGTGCCGACAAGTTCGCGGTATGGGCAGTCAAAGGGAGGGCTGTCGTGTTCAATGAGAGGGGTGATCCGGAGGGGGGTGTTGACTGGATGAGTGGAAGCGATGTCAAAGTGTTCGAGAGCCTCAGTAATGTACGAGGTTTATGCTGGTAGAAGTGGCGTTGGTGATAATGCGACAGCCGAGGAGCCAGGTGGATTCGCCGAGGACGGAGCAATCGAATTCCGAAAGAAGTTGTGCTTTAAAGCGTTCAACGTCGGCGGGAGTGCAGCCACATATGATAAGGTCGTCGACGTAAATCAGCACGGTGCAGTTGTATGAGGGTGTGCGGATGGTAAACATACAGCGGTCTGTGTGTGCCTGATGAAAGCCGAATTGAAGGAGCTTAGACTTAATAAGGGAGAACCAAAGCTTCCCAGATTGTTTGAGACTGTAGAGCGATTTCTTTTGCTCAAGGGTGGTGTCCTTATAAATACCTATTTGATCTGAGCCAGCGGGTGGTTTCATGAAGATGAGATGGTCAAGGTCAGCGTGAAGGAATGAGGTGTTGACATCCATCTGCTTTGTGTGCCAGCCCTTGTTGGCAGCAACAGCGAGAAGCGTGCGGAGGGATTCATGGGTGCAGGTAGGTGCATACGTCTCCGTGAAGTTGATATCATTGGTTTGCATGAAGCCACGGGTAACAAGTCGAGCTTTATTTGTCAATAATCCCATTGACCATCTTGATTTTGAAACCCTATTTAGAGGTCACAGTTAGGACGTCAGCAGGGAGGTCGGTCGTGTCGCGGAGGATGAAAGTACCAGTTTTGCGAAGGCTGTTCATCTCAGTCGATGGCAGCTCGCCAGAGGTCGGCTTCTGGACTGTAGGGGTGATGGGTTGGTCCTGCACAGCTTTGCATAGAGCATGAACGTAAGAGCGAACGGCATCGTATTTACGTTGATCCGACAGTTGCTTGCGGGTAAGGCGAGGGCGGTACTTGTCAGGGCCCGGGAGATCAGAGATGTGTGGGGTCTCGTGGGAGTCGTCGATGAGAAGGTTACGGAGCTCGCGGTTACGGGGACGTTTGGCGATGTGAAGGTGTAGCTGGTCGTTGTGGGAGCCGAGGATACGGTCTTGGTCGTGGCGAGCAGTAGAGGCTTGGAAGAGTTCGGCCTGTTGCTGAGTTTGGAAGTCAGCGGTACGGGCGCGAGCTTTAAGGGCGTGACGGGCGTCAGAGGATTGGGCGTGTGGGTGGGCGACACGGTCGTGGGCGGTGCGGAGCAGGGTCTGAAGATTTTTATGGAGAGAGTCAGTTGCTGGGGGGCTGGGGAGGAGTGAGGGTTTGGGGGAAATACATGGTGTGGATTCAAGTTCAACGACGGAGCACGGAGGAGGGTATGGAGGGTCGGGGACGTCGCATGGTGGGGGTGGAGTATCGATGACGGAGCAGGGCGGTGGGTCCGGAGAGTCATAGGTCTCGGGCGGTGGCAGGGATGTCAGGGTGGCGGGAGGTTCTATGACGGAAGGCAGGGTATCACGATATGTGTCGACAACAGAGAGCTGTTCCGGGGTGAGATAGGGCTTCGATTTAAAGCCGACGTTGTGCCACAAGTGAAAGATGCTCTCGTTGAATTGAACTTGGCGGGAAGTCATGGTGTGACCAGTGTCAACGTTGAGCATGCAATATTCGTTGGCGTGCGTGGAGTAGGGGTCACGTGCGATGAGGATGCCAACTCGACATTTGAGACGGAGTTTGTCGGTATTGCCGTGGTTATAACTGAGGGTCATGCATCCATATACGCGAAGGGCTTTGACGAAAGCAGTAACGGGGCGATCAGAGAAGGCTTCGTTGGGATTGGATGTGCGGTGAAAGATGTTGCGGATGTGAGAGGCATGGGATTTGGCTTCGGCCCACATGTGGGAGGGTTGGAGAGCCTGGGCGACCATACAAAGTGCAATGTTCATGTTGGTCTGGTGTGCACGTTCGACACCACCGTGTTTGGCGGAGTCGCCAGTGAGGCTGTAGAGGATTTGGACATGGGCAAGGTGGTTAACGAGTTTGAATTCGGTGGCAACAAGCTCACCTCCACGGTTGGCGATGATGGTGCGTAGGCGATCGTGCCCTTGTGCTTCGATAAAGGTATAAAAACGGTCGAGGACAAGGTGATCATCGCTTTTGATGCGGGGATGTTCTTGGTACCCGAGGCCTGTACGGCGTCCAAAGAAATGGATGGTGTATGCGTGGCCACCATATCTCTGTCTTCAAGGTTGACTTGCCATTCAGCGTCAAGAACAGGGAGGGTGCGTGGCTTGTCACTGACTGGGATTTTGTACATTTTTCCAGTGGCGCAGGAGACGCAGGAACATGCTGGAGACCCCGTGTGGAGGAGACTGACGTCGATGGCAGTTTGGAGTGCGGCAGGGATGGGTACGGCGTGAGCCGGAGGACCGAAGATGGCGACACCAGTGTAGAGCCAGTTGGGAGCGGTGACAAAGTCCTGAGTGCCGTCGGGCTGGCGTCGGAGAAATGTATGGGGAGCGGAGGGGGTGATTTAGTTTGGGCCACCAAGCTGCCTTGGGGTTCGAGCTTGGCGGTACCGCGTGGGAAGTCCTTCCAAGGAAGGTTGCCGTAGAGGCGCTTCGTGGGTTGGCGGTACCGCGTGGGAAGTCCTTCCAAGGAAGGTTGCCGTAGAGGCGCTTCGTGGGTTGGCGCCAGTTCTGTTTGTATGCGTCATGAAGGGAAGTGGCTTTGCCTTTGTGGTCAATGGTGCAGTAGGTAGGAGCTTGGCGTTTGTGCTTAGTAGCGAACATGTCGATATCAACGGGGCCAAAGACTTGCGTGACGTGTTTGTCAAATAGTGTGGGGTGAAGCTGGTATTCGTCGCAGTAGGTCAGCGGCGGGGGGATGGGGATGTTGTGTGTGTGGGCGATGGCTTTGGTCGTGTGGATGAACTGGTGGCCAAAGCGGGCGTGGTGGAGGTTGAGACTGTCAGTTTGGAATGTATTCAGGTGGTAGCGCCCGGCAGATTCATCAATGAACTTGACGGTGGTGCCACCGCGTGTGATAAGGCATTGGGCGAGGCCGTTGGGAGTAGGTGTTTTGGGGGGAAAGATAGTGTAACCGTTGCGTTGCATCTTGCGCACACAGAGAATAGGCTGACTGGCGTCGGGGAGGACGAGGGCAGGGTGTAGCATCTAGGGACCAGATTGTCAAAAAGCCAATACAAATCCTAAAACTCAGAATCATCAAATACTGAGTTTTGGAATTAGGATTGGAATATTTCCGATATTAGAGTCATGAGAAATATTATTGGTAGAACCGGTAAGATATACCGGGACTCCCGCGTGTGAGAGAAACACTCAAGTAAATCCTGAGTCTAGTGAAAACACAAATAAAGACTCAGTTCGGTTCTCTCCGACTAGGACTTTTCCTAGCTGAGATAAACGTACTTGAGAAGAGGTCTATTGTATCCTATTGTCTCATACCTTTCAGATATTCTCCATACTCTACATTTTTTACAATATCCTTACTTAGAATAAGTCAAATAACATACACTCGAAAGGAAGAATGAGTGGGAATACAGGGAGTCTTAATCCTTACACATAAGGAGAGACTCCAGATAAAGAGGCCCCAACAAGTGAAGAGGCCCCAACAAGAGAAGGCCCCAACAAGTGAAGAGGCCTTAACAAGCAAACCAGAAGAGAAGCTCGAACCGCAGAAGGAAAGGGCACTGAAGAACTGTGATACCAGGAGGAGCAGTTAGTTGGAAACAGAGGACCCCAACAAGAAGACCGCTACAAGAATTATGACTCGGTATAGAAGAACGAATAAGGCAACAAACTCGTGCTACAACAGTAGCGTGCTGAAGTGTAAGGTGTTAAATCATTTGTGATGATAATAGTGTGCCATAGAGAGTTTACGAGACTGGCGTAGGGCAAAACCAGTGAAAATTCAAAAGCTGTCAAGGTGATTGAATAATCAAAGCTAATTATTTTCTAGGATTTTCAGACAAGAAAACACCTTGACAGAAGATTCACAAAAAGGGCACTACCTAACCTCACTCACTCGAGGCTCCTGGACAAAAGATTAAGAAGCATAGCACGCATTTTCCACCACACCCAACAGACAAGCATCAAGCAAATCAATAGATAACTGAAATCTTCAGTATGTACAAAGATTATAAGAAGCAAACACAATACAGGTGGCATAACAAGAAAAAGCAATACAAATGGCATAACATTACACAAGAGTTACACATAACGATCATGATCTAAATTCATACAAATCGAAGATCAGAGAGACATCAAATTTCAAATCGAAGAAACATCAAATCATACGCGTAGACAGCCATAGTATTATCACACAATATTATGATCTAAAATATTCTAATAACCAGACCAACCAATATTATTGAGCGACAAACAACACACATAATATAATACTAGTCGCAACACATAAGAAATCAGGATAATACGTAGACACGCGAGGTAAGAAAGAACAGCGCATACTGGCAAGGAACGTTTAGTACCCAAGACAATTGCAAGACAACAGTATACAGCTACAGAAAGAAAGCGCAATTTGACAAACACTACAACGAACTCTATAAAAACAAGAAATTGCACAGACACCAACATTTCGAGGTATTGATCACACAGAGCCCATAAAGGCTCATGCACAACGACACAATTGCAGTAGCACTAGATGAACATACATAAATGTTTATAAAACACATACTCTACGACGCAGTCGCGCTAGAACATACATAAACATGTATACACAAACATGAACTAAGTGCAAAACTAGGCAATCACGAGAGATCAATAAGGGATCACAGAGGATGTCACAATTAAGACAAAAACACAACACATACATGAACCACAAAAGGTAAATAAATGTCAGGCTAGCTAATTAAGCAATATAGAGCCAAAGAGTACATACAACACAACCGTCACAAGGGGACACATTATAATAAAACTGTAAATCCACCAGTAGATTCAAGGACACATCTATTGATAAGAGAGGCTATAAGAAACGCTAAGACTAGCCACTCTGGCACAATTAGTCAAGAAGCATAGATTTTATTACAACAACAAACACTCAGCAATCAGCAATCACATTGAAAAAAGATACAACCCCTATTTCTTTCATGACTAGCCACTCAGGCAAGCATAGTCAAACATTACCAGAATCACACAACACATGCGATCAGCATCGTCACTGATTCAATACAAAGCACATTGCGAAGACAATAAGCGATAACAAGCAATCCTAAGTGAAATCGAGAGACACAAATCAACGAACACAGGACATACACAACACACGCAGGCGTTCATTAGAACAAACAGTGTGAAGAAATACAAGGACACAAGTAGTCGCATAAATTAAAGGACTCTGACACGATCATAGTGCTAAGGAACGAACATCAAGTGTGGACTAGCGCACACATAGTTCGGCACAAAACCCGAACCGACCGGTGACGCCAATAGCGACACACTTCGGTACCGGATACAGTTTGGTACAGGACACACTCCGGTACAAGACGCAGTTCGGTACAGGACACAGTTCGGTACAGGACACAGTTCGGTACAGGACCAAACTGCTAGAGTGACGTCACTAGGACCGAACATCTCACTGAGAACACACATGAGGAATTATTTTCTCATATGACGGAATAAGTATAAGTGACGTCACATATGACAAATAAGCTTTACTAACAGGCACCATTTTCAAACCCTATAAATATAGGGGACGAAGCAACAAGCTACCGGGCCATACAGCACGGTAAACACTTCCAGCGGAAGTGCAGCAAAGTAACGACACTAAAATAGTAAGTAAAACAAATCAAAGTTTTATTTTATATATAAAAATTATTACTAAAGACGGGGGGGGGGGGGGGGGTGAAGCGCGCGCTTTCGCACAAAATATAACCAGAGTCTTTATTAATAATTCACTAACACCCACACACCACGCAGACAACTGAAAATGCCAACAGCAACCAGAACAAGCGTGTACGGTGGGAGGAAATGTAGTGAAGGCGCGGGTGACGTGGGAGTTAGCCCAATGGGGGAAGCAAGCCCAGGCAGTAGCTCGGGCCAGCCTACTCCGGCGGGGGTACCCATCTTAGCCTCAGCAGTCTAGAAATATACAAGAGTATCTGTCAAGGCAATCATGTCTTTGTGAGTCGGTTTGTGTCCAAGTTGGAGCAGACAGCACCTGTGCCCATACCAACTCTGCACATGGTGAGGGTAGGCATATATTATCAACAGCCAGAGCGCTGTATGCCACTAGTGGATGCGAAGCTCAGACGACGATATGACCAAGCGATCAACGATTGTGTTGATGATGAGGAAGACAAACTCATCCAGATCAGTCTGTACATCAGTGAGCTATAGCTCATGCGTTCACGTTTAGGCGATCAGTTAAACGAACCATCTCTTAAGAAATTGTTTAAGACTTCTGAATTTCCTAAGATGCTTAAGGTAAATTTATTTAGAATGGAAACTGTGAAGATATCATAGAGTTCAGTACACAGTGTAGTGATCTGTTCTTAGCTAAGTCAATGCCTCTGTGTCAGTACCCAGCACTAGTGCGAAGCCTTTTGGATTCCACTGAAGCAACGGAGAAGACCAAATCAGTACTCAACAATATGAGAGATTCTGAGACACACACATCCAGGCACTTCACCGATCCGGAGCAGTTCAATAGAATCATTATTGACCGACAGTAGACTATCTATTGGAGAAGTTTCTCAATGACATGCAGAATAAGAAGATGAACGTCGAAGTGTGCACAGAGCGTGTGCACAAGACAAGGCGATGTTGGAAGAGCGTTACCGCATCTCAGACAAGCAACCCATATACTTACAAATCCTCAAAGTACAAAGGTACCTAGCACTTAAGTACTATGTATTGCAATCAGTTGTGGATACTCTCATTAAGGGAGACAGGCAACCGGGTGGGAGTGAAGGACACTTGTCCAACATGGACCACGCCAAGCTTCATACTATGACTGAGACACACATAAGAACAGTGGCTGTGACACAAGCAGAGCGTATATTGAGGGATCAGGTGCGAACAGCAAACAAGCGCAATAACGCACAGACGAACACGCAGGTTGAGGATAACTCTACGAATGCTAACAAATGGCACAAGCCAGACAATGGTACATACAACCATAACAAGCAAGGAGGGCATACACAGAAGAAGAAGGGGGCACGTGAAGAGTGTGCATGCCCCTACTGCTTGGCAATGCCATCCCCACATCGATTCAGTGAATGTCCCAACAAGAAAGCAAATCAAGCCAAGAAGGCTGAGGAGCAAGCCAAGAAAGATGTGAAGATAGCAAGACTGTCCATTACGTCTGGCAATGTGGAAGACATCACCGAAGGTGATGAGCACTGAAAGCACTGGTGGGCGGATGCAAACACGATTGACCTGGCTGACAGACTCAATGTATTTACAGATGAAGAAACGTTGTTAGTAAATGCAAATGATATAAATTACCAACCTTTATCTTTACTTCCCGCACCACGAGACTAACGTTTACACATTGACATACAAATTAATGGTAATACATACAATGCACTAGTAGACTCGGGTGCACAACGCTCATGCATGGACAAAAGTGTAGTATCATAATTATATCTTTCTGTTAGAGCGCAACCGGGGTACATACAACTAGCACAAACAGATGCACGAATACAACGCACGGGATCAACAGAAGTTTGTGACATTAAATATGGAGGTAGAAAAACCTCTGTGGTTTGAAGTATTGGACTTACCTGAAAAGAAGACACCAATACTTATAGGTATGTACATCCTAGCATGCATAGGTATATACATAGCAGGATAAATCAATCCACAAATACCAACAGATGTAAAATGGGAATCGCTTTCACAGCACATGAAGAGGTCCCAGGGCATGAACAAGAAGGTCTCAGGTAGTCACTTACAGACCTCCTGATATTCATTGCAACCTACCAGGCTCCATAGTCACAGTACCTGCAAATAAAATCAACGTCAGGCAAATGAGGCATGCTAAAAAATACATTCCGCAAACGGATGAGAATGTGCAACGATGACTTAAAGATGGCCACATATATATACGTGATAAGTCCACAACGGTAAACTTGCCGTTGTTATCAACAGGTGAACATGACCAAACAGGTCTACTCAAGAAAGTCAAGACATGTCTAGACTTACGTGAGACCAATTATCAATATGAACAGGACAAGTCTGTGTTACCAAAGATAAAGGAAGTGATACACATCCTACAAGGAGCACAGTTCTTTTCAAAGCCAGATTTTACAGGAGGATTTCATCACTTTCTAGTAGATGAAGCAAGCCAACACTTCTTCACATTCTCGTGGAGAGGAGCGCAAAACTCATTCAAGTTCTCGCCGTTTGGACTACACTCACTCAAAGCACAATTCCAGAGAGTCATGGCTGCTCATAGATATCAAAGGAGTGCAAGTGTATGTAGATGACATAGTCATTGCGAGTCTTACAGAAGAAGAACACCGCAAGACAGTTCGTGAAGTAATCAAGCGACTGAATAGTGCAAACTTCCGACTCAATCACAAGAAGTGTGCCATTGCGGTCAAAGTGGACAACATTCTTGGGGTGAAAGTCGCCACACAGGGACTCAAAACAGACTCCGAGAAACATAAAGAATGATGGATTGGCCACTACCCAGAACAAAAGAGATCTGTACAAAGTAGTTGGACTAGCAAATTACATGCGAGACCATGTCCCCAACTTTGCTCACACCACGAAACACTTTCGGAACCTAATGAAAAGTAAAATGAACCAGAATATATACATGTTATGGACTCCGGAACTAATCAGGAAGTGGGAAGAACTCAAAGAAGCAATCGCATGTTCAGCGACGCTAGCATATCCTCTTGATGGGGTACCGTTTCAAATTATGAACGATGATAGTGACTATGGCATAGAAGGGTGTTTATTTCAAGTCATCGATAGAGTTAGAAGAGACATTCTCTACTTCTCAAAAAGCTTGAATCCAGCACAACAACGCTATGGCACAAATACCAAAGAGCTACTAGCGCTGGTATACAGCCTGTAACATTTCTCCGAATACATCAAAGGGGGGGACATAACACTGTGGACAGATCACAAGAGTCAAGAGACGTTACACCCAATGCTAGCCAAGTGGACAGCAAAAACGTTCCACCACCGCAAGGACAACCAGATGGCAGATATGTTGTCACGTCTCCATGAAGATACTTTTAGTACTAAAGAGTCAAAGGTATTAAAACAGGCAAATGAGGCAACACATAATAGCCAAGAGTACACCACCTTGGAAACGAACATGCCCATAACCATATCGGCCATAGACTGGATGTTACATTCCAGATTCTATCAAGAAGTGGAACGAAGGTTTGAGAAGTTCACAGTAGTCTGTTTGCATCGGCACACAATGCGCACACAGATAAACACTACACCAAAGAACAGAATGCGCTACAACAAAAGTGGGCGCAGGAAGTCAATGCATGGGCGAATCCACCATGGGAACTCATACCTGATGTCCTTGACAAAGTCATTGCAGAGGCAACCAGCATCACGATATGTGTACCATATTACCCCAATGCCTCGTGGTTTCCAAAGTTCTTGACTTTACTAGAAGAAGACCCGATGTCAGTGGAAAACACAAGCAATACGTTTTTCAGAGAGGGCAAGAGGGCTTGCGGCAAGACCCCATGGGGTGTCACGTTAGTCACAAAGATAGGAGCTAAGTCTCCATACTTTGACTCAACGCGGGAACAACCTGCTATACACGTTGCAGCGTCAGAACCAGTTCACTCTGGAGAAACACCACAGGCAACAGAATATGAGACACATGTCAACATCATTTAGCAATACCACAACTTGGGACACTGCACTCCTGAGGAAACAGTACACAAGTTGCAAACAGATGGACATGATTGGGATGATATCCAACAACATGTACACAAGTTCATTGACGGATGTATACCATGTCTCAAAAATAAAATACACAAAAAGGGATTTCACCCCTTACAATCAATTACAGCCGCATATCCAAGCGACAGAGTCCAAATGGACACCATAGGGCCACTATTGGATTCCAATAGAGGACACACATACGTGTTAGTATACCTTGACGTATATTCATCGTACGCCATTTTACGTCCAATGATGGACAAATCAGCGGCTACCATAGCACACACACTGGTACCAATTATATGTGAACATGGATTCCCACAAATCATACAACCGGACCAAGGCACTGAATATGTTAACAACATACTATCAAAAGTTGTTGAACAAGCGCCAATGTAACACCTAGACCTCATGTCACTGCTACAGAAATTCGTTGAACAGAATCCAGGTAACTGGTGTTCAAGACTTTCATTCGTACAGATGGGCCATAATCTGCGTACATCTAGACGACACAAGTCACCGGGCTCTAATGTGTACTTTGGTCGCAGACAGAATCAACTCACGGACTACAATGAGCCAGTGGCCGCACCCAGTACAACAGTATCTTAGGAAGAGCGACTGCAAAATCTAGAAGAAGCCATCAGGCCACAACTAGAGAGCAATGTTGCACAGTATCAAGAGAAGAGGCGAGCAGCATTCGATCGAAAATACCAACAGAAGTATGTAAACTTCCATGAAGGGGAGCTTGTCTTGGTCCGCTATTAAGGTGAAATGAACAAGTTAACAGCACCAAATGGTAGACCATACAAAATAGTATGCAGGGAGGGCAACGGGTATATTGTCTGTAACCTTGATGGGACAAAAGCCTCAGAATATCCTGACTCGATCAGTGATGAGCTACTTGGCTTCGTGAAAAGGGCCAGTGCTCTGGAAGCATTTGCTTCCAACAATCACGTACAACCAAACGAAGAGACTCAGTTCTCATCGATAGTCGACGACAGGCCGTCCATCCGAGGTGATGGATCCCAGGAGTACCTACTGCAATGGACAGATGGTGAGCGTACCTGGACGCATGAATCAGACATCGCAGATGCTGATGTCATTACAACATACCGTCAACGCCGGAGACGTAAAAGAAGGCCGTCAAGGCCAAAGAAGCCAGCGACAACGAGCACTGGTAAAAGATCAGACAGACAGCGCACGAGACCTAAGCAAGTTTCACTGATACCACAGGACACTCCCACTTTTCTCGCCTAGAAGCATGCTCCCCCCACACACCAGATGGACAAGGACCAGAGACTCGGTTGCAGAGCCACCGCTGAGATGCATTTTCTTAAGCCAAGTTGGGATCAACCGAGAGCACCGGTCAAGACTGACTCCGATGATCGTTGTAGAGGACTCCTGCTATAGTATAAATTTAATTAATCGGTAATATATAATAGATTACGGTGTCAGGTTTTTCATCTTATGCCCCCTAAGGGACAAGATAAACACCAACCTCTAGACAATCTAGTACTGTTAGATGTCACTTTATACTCCTACGCAGGCTAAGAAGCATAAAGTTGGGGGGCTGTAACATCTAGGGACCAGAGTATCAAAAAGCCAATACAAATCCCAGAACCCAGAATCATCAAATACTGAGTTTTGGAATTAGGATTGTAATATTTCTGTTATTAGAGTCATCAGAAATATTATTGGTAGAACCGGTAATATATACCGGGACTCCCGCGAGTGAGAGAAACACTCAAGTAAATCCTGAGTCTAGTGAAAACACAAATAAAGACTCAGTTCGGTTCTCTCCGACTAGAACTTTTCCTAGATGAGATAACCGTACTTGAGAAGAGGGATATTGTATCCTATTGTCTCGTACCTTTCAGCTACTCTCCATACTCTACAAGGGCCGAGACCGGGGATGGTGTCACGGGTTGGCGCGGTGACGAAGAAACCGCCGGCGAGTTCAATAACGAATTGACCATGTTCTACGTTCAGCGGAGGTGACGATGGAAATTCTGCGCCGGAGTCGATAAGATCAGTGGCGATGACGGATTGGTGGTAGGGTTCGGCACGGAATATATGGGTGTTCACATGGTAGCGCACTGGTTTGATGATGGGATCAGTTGGTGGGGGAACTGGTGGTGGAGGTGTGGCTGCGTGAGGAACCCCGTGGCTTCAGGCACGGCGACAGGCGGTGGTAGTGTGGCCTGTGGAATTGCGGCAGTTGTTGCACTTGAGGGGACGAGGAAAAGTGCATTGCGAACCGGTGTGGGAAGAATCCCAGCAGCGGCGACGATTGCTGGAAGGGCAGTCATAGGCACCGTGAAGAGGCACTGTCGACGCTATAGGTGTTGCTGATACTTAGAATGGCTTTGCTATTGGTGGCGTAGTTGCGCATTTTAGTAACGATGGTGTCAAGGGTGTACGTGTGATCAGTTGCGCCCATAATGTCCTGGGCGACGATGTCAAAATCGTCCGGGAGAGATTGCAGGAGGCTGCAGACGTGATAAAATTCGGGTGTGTCAGCATGAAGGCTTTTGAGTTGATCGCGAAGGAGGTTGACTTTGGCAATGCTGTCGTCCAGGGAGAGTTACTTGGGGAGGGTGACGAGATGAACGAGAAGTTCCCATATGCGGCCGATGGTGATGGAGTTGAAATCGTCACAAAGGTGGCGATAGAATGCGTGGGGGTCTTGGTCTAGGTAAGTGTCGTATTGTTCTGGGAGGCCGCTGCCGATGGATTCAAATAAGATGGTGGTGCCGACGGTCTTTCGGATGCGTCAGCGGTGGAGGCAGGGTGCAGGGTGTGAAGGACGTCATGTTTCTTAAGGATGTGCTTGAGTTGACAATGCCAGTTGGTAAAATTGTCGTATCTAGTAAGCTTCGTGGCAGGATAGTTACTGGAATACCTGCGGGGTTTACCGGTGCTGATGCGGCTGACAGGGATGTTGGGCATCTGATGGGAGTCGTGGCGGGGGGCACCAAGGAGTGGAGAGTCCGAGCGAGATCGGGATGGGGTGAACATGGGGGTAGATGGGGACCGTTGTTCAAGCTTACGAATCTTGCTTTGGGCTACCTCTAGCTGTTAACAGAGGCTGTGGGAATCAGAGGCAGCGAGTTCTGCCTGAAGGGTAGTGAGTTCGTCATGGAGCTGTGTGGCGGCAGTGGTGAGGTCCTCGTTTTCGGTGAGGGCCTCTTGTAGAAGTTGTGCATGTTCGTGTTGTTGTTGGGTGAGGTGAGCGCGGTGTGTGTCGCGGTCATTGCGCAAGCGATTGATGTCGGCTTCAGCAAGGGCGTGAGTCTTACGGAGAGCGGCGTGGGTAGCTTCAAGGTGAGTGTCGGGGATGTAGTGGAGTGTTCCTGTGCTTGAATGAGTACAAAGCGGGCCTCTTCACGTTCTTCAAAGTATGTGTCACGTTCACGACGGATGTGGGCGAGGTCGTTTTGCAATGTGGTGTGTTCGGTGGTTGTTGTGATATTGATGTCTTGCATACGTGTAAGATTGCGATGAATATTATCACGTTCAATGGTGATGTCGGTGTAACTAGATTGCGCCTGATTACGTTCAGTGATGAGGGTAGCGCGTTCGGAGCGAATGTGATCAAGTTCAGTGGCGAGCTGGTCGCGTTCAGTGATGAGTGTGCTACGTTCGTTACGGATGCGCTCAAGGTCATTAACTAGAGAGTTATGTTTGATGGTGTGTTGGTCGTAGTCAGATTGAGTTAAATCGCGGGCGGTATTGGCGGTGATACGTTCAGTGAGGATGGTGTGGCACTCTTGACGAAGGCGTGCAATGTCGACGTTGAGATCAGCAATGGAATCAGATTGTTTGGCAGATACATTGCGGATGGTGTCGAATTCAGTGGAAAGGTTGGCACGGTCGCGTCGAATGCGAGTGAGGTCGGATTGTGCGTCAGTGTTGGCCTTGTGTGAGCGGTTTCAATCAGTGATAGCGGATATTGCATCGAGTTCGGAAAACACAGCGTGAGCATCTAAGTATATGGCGGTGTTGTTGGCGGTGTTGTTGACGTGAGAGTTATCGTTGGTGTCAACAACAGCAGATATGATGGTGCGGGTAAGTTGGATGTGATTATTGGCGTGGGAAATATTGGTGCATGGCTGGAGAGTTGGGAAGAAGTCACGTTGAAAACGTTGGGCGCCCTCAAAGCTAAATCGGGATTTGGCCCGTGGGCGGAGGTTGACGCATGGTGATGTATGAGATGGAACTAGAGGAGCAGCGGTGGTGCAGAGGTGGTGAGATCAGAGGATCGGCAGAGTTGGTGAGCTCAGAATATCAGAGGTGGTGAGATTAGAAGATCAGAGGTGATGAGATCGGAGAGATATTGTGATCAAGAGATCAGGGGTGGAACTCTAAGCGATGTATATATGGAATATAAATAATTATATTCGATATAGGCCCATAACCTGTTGGAACATATATTTGCTTAACGAAGTAACTTTATTATCATATTACATATTGGCTATAAA